ACAGCTTGAGGCTCCTGTCTCGAAAAAAAAAAAGAGAGAGAAAAGACAAAAATTAACTGTTGGTGGTCTAATAAACTGGTACATATATTTTATTTATCTTCTACTTCATAAAAGATTAACAACTCACAAGAAAAGTCATATCTTTTGACCCATAATCACATTTTTGACAATTCATCCTTCGGAAATGATTCAATGCAAAGATGAACAAAAAGCTACCAAGATGTTTGTTTCCACATTATACGTGATAACAAGAAAAGTACAACTCCTACTAGAACATGCACTAACCTACATGTTCAGTAAGCAGGAACTCATTTGGTAAATTCTACCCCATCAAAATTACAGAATAATGTTCAGTCATTAAAAATGAGAATATGTCCAAGGCCACACTTAATTGAAAAGAAAACAGAGAATACTCACAAATCTAAACAGTAATCACTTTGGGCGATGAGACTGTTGGCAGTTCTTGGTCTGTCTACTTTGGTAGGTTTTCCTCATTTCTAAAATAAGCACATAACTGTTAGGATAAAAGAACGTAAGACAACTACATGCTACATATAAAGTATAAGAAACATTTATTACATAAAGATCAAATAGTAGAAAAAATATTATGCTGTTTTACATTACCAAAAACTGGAAAGTAATATCTAAAAAATGAAAATTGTATTCAGAAGGCAAAATCGTATAATTTACTTTTTTCAGTTTTTCTCTCATTATAGTACTTTTACTGTAGTCTTTGTATAGATTTTGGTTTACCGGAGAAAGTATATAATATGGTCCTTTGATGTTTCATTCATAAAAGTAACATATTTCAGTAAATTCATCTGACATGCTATCTAATAAATGGGAAATGAATATTTGCTTTCTGTTTTGACAAACATTTGCTGGTAACCAGCCTATAAATTAAAACTTACAATAGGAGTATACTTTTATGCCTTAAAATGAAAATTTAAAAAGTTATGCGACTAGTAAAGGAAAAACAATTTGTACAGAATTGTCTGTCATCTTCGTATTACAGCAGTATTAATGCTAGCATATACTAAAGTATATACTCAAGTGTAGTAACTGGTTATTCTTTGTTACCCAGCAAAACTGTTCATTGTAGGATCAAACTCTTCATCATCAACAAGAAATGCTGTTGACATGGGTAAGCAGAAATTTAACTTTTTATCTTAATAGTAGGCTTTAAGCCAGTTTAGGTATTATTAGGTATAACCTGTGTTCAGGTCCAGGTTAAAAAGAAAAGAAACTGATTCTGATTTTACCTTTTAAAGTTCTGGGGCAGTGCTTGTGGCTCAAAGGAGTAGGGCACTGGCCCCATAGGCCAGAGATGGCGGGTCCAAACCCAGCCCCAGCCAAAAACTGCAAAAAAAAAAAAAAAAAGTTCCAGCCAAATTTCTTAAGGCTTCTCTAGAATCATATTGACTTACGATGTCTTATGTAACATGACTATACATAATTAAATGTTAACTGTCTATTTGAGGATAGAAATTTTCCTTAAAGCCTTTTCACTGTTAGTACTATAGCAAAAACAACAGCATCAACAAAATCCCAAGTATTTTGCATGTGATTTCAGCACTTGTTGTATTAACAGTTATTTAATCCTTTTTTAAACATTCTTTGAGGATTTATGTATGTTGAAAACTTAAATAATTGGCTCTTTAATATAACTGTAAAATGAATAAAAATCATTTAAAATAAGCTCTTCTAGAAATAAGACATTATTTCCTTCAGTAAATACAGATGAAGAGTGTCAATTCAGTTTTTCAGGGTCTTAGCCTTATTCTCTGCTAGGACTATCAGTTGTAGAATATTAAGTCACAATTCTTGTGACCATCCATACAAGATACTAGTGAGCAAGGAGAATTGGAGTAGAAGAAAAATTTATGAAGGAAGCTGTCCAAAACTTCTGGGGTCCAGGAAACAAAAAGGAATCCTGCTCCCCAGACAGAGGAGACTGTAGCAGTTGTGAGCTTCCTAGGAAGAAGACGGGTCAGAGAAACACACTTGTCTGCCCCACAGAGCAAGTAGATGGATGGATACTTAACACGTTTGCAGAAGATGGAAATATTCTAAATGAAAGGTAAATTGAGAAATAATCTGTTATTTGGAAAACTAGTGAAAAATATGGATAGAATTCAGTGGGATACCATGAAGAGAATAGAAATATTTTGTTTTTTGCACACTGACAATCATGTGAATAAAAAAAGGGCAAATTTTCTTTTATTGTGTTACAAATATCCTTTTTGTGTTTTCCATCCCATCAGCCTGCTCAGTCCTGGGAGTTGCACAGCTGGACTCTGTGATCATTGCTTCACCTCCTATTGAAGATGGAGTTAATCTTTCCTTGGAGCATTTACAGCCTTACTGGGAAGAGTTAGAAAACCTGGTTCAGAGCAAAAAGATTGTTGCTATAGGTACCTCTGATTTGGACAAAACACAGTTGGAGCAGCTCTACCAGTGGGCACAGGTAAAGGACGGTGACATCCTGAGCACTTGGAGAAGGACCAGCCCTTTTCAGTCTTTGCTGCACACTGTTGAGTGCCCTGCACACAGCAGACACTGGGGGGTGACTCTGCCAAATGCAGGAGATTTTTGTGTGTGTTGAGGAGTGGGTGGTTTCGGGGGGGATTAATCTAAATCGTAGGAGTTTTTTTTCCCACATCTAATTGAACTGAATGTTAATCCCAGTTAAAATGAGTGATAAAACGCTAGTAAATGTATTGAAGCATTTATAGCCAAATGAATTAAGGCCATTTCCTTCAGTTTTATTTATGTGCTGAAAATATTACATTCTTCTTTAGGTATTAGACCATGGCTCTAATTTCTGAAGTAAAGGAATATTATATGTAACAAATATGGGCAGCACTTGTGGCTCAGTGGGTAGGGTGCTGGCCCCATATACTGAGGGTGGTAGGTTTGAACCCAGCCACGGCCAAACTGCAACAAAAAATAGCCAGGTGGTGGGCCCCTGTAGTCCCAGCTACTCGGGAGGCTGAGGCAAGAGAATCGCCTAAGCCCAGGAGTTGGAGGTTGCTGTGAGCTGTGATGCCACAGCACT